TAGCAGGTCAACCAGAAGGGGCTTCTGTAGAATATTTGAGACATATCGAAGGATAAATTATTTGAAAACACAGAAGCCATGTGAAGAGTATCATGATAATAACTTTGAAAAGGAAAAGAATTTCAACCGGTTTTTTAAATTGGAACAAGCATTGGATGCTTCAGGAGATGAAAAAATCCCGAGATCGGTGAATAACGAATCGAATAGTATCAGCAAAGATCTATCAGTGGGGGGCTCTTTAAAAGATGATCTAGAGGAAATTTCTGAAGATCGCCCAAAAGCTAAATTCGATACCCAATTATTGTTAAGTGACTCACCAAAGACAGAATCAGCAGTATTAGAAAACACTGTATTTTCCCCTAACACTCATAGACCTTCATTGAGGGATATACCTGGGATTGAAAATATAGAGATATCTTCACCTGATCAGGATGTTGATAAGCCATACGGTACTTTTCGCATGGCATTAAAAATGAGATCAAATAAAAATATTCTATATGGGAAGTCTCCCAAACATCAAGATCCCCATTTCAACAATCTAGATGATGAAATAGATTCTCATTTGTACTACCATTCTCGAAGAAATGTACTATTTAAGTGCTTTCCAAGCAAAACTCTGGTGTACCAGGACAACATGCGAGAAACTCATAACGAAAATACCGATTTTGCACCCGACTTGGAATCAGACAAGCAAATACCTGACGAACAAATACCCACCATTCCAACAACCCCAAATAGCTTATCAGACAGTCTTACAGCAATTAAGGGAATATTTCAACAAAAGTATAAATCTAGCTTCTCGCGAGATAAAAATAAACGGCGGAATCTTAGTGTTCGGTTCGTTTCACCTATTCTATCGCCAATAGAAATGACGAATAATGAAGAGAACGAAGACGATAACAATAATACTCAAGGCACAAAATGATTTAAGAATGTATATGAAGATGCATAAAGAGATGCATAAAGAGATGGATTGTTAAGTGGTATTCACATTCTCAAGATCTAAATAGCCTTCTCAATGTTTTATACTATTATATATTAGACATTAATTTCAATAATTATATTCCTATAAAGAAAAAGTCATTGAACCAATTGGTTAGCGACTTCACACTTCTTATCGATCGATAAGTTTTTTATTGGTCTAAATTTTTCAGTATCGACCGTCATAATCTAAAATTACTTACTATCTTTTTTTTTTTGGTTTGTGGCACGCGCAACATATAAGAGTCATATCGCCAGTATCAAGAAGTCAAGTCAATTCTTTGTAAGGAAGTAAACTAGCATTACAACTATGTTTGAATTGAAATCCCTTGTGAGACCAAATATCCTAACTCTTGAGCCTTATAGATGTGCCAGAGATGACTTTAAAACGGGTATTTTGCTCGATGCAAATGAAAATACTCATGGCCCTGCGTTGAAAGATGTTTCTAGTGAAGAAGAAACCTTGGAATTAAATAGATATCCAGACCCACACCAAGTTGACTTAAAGGAACAAATTATCAATATTCGTAATGAAAGACCAAATAAATTTTTGAAAGAATTTAATCAAGATAAGTTGACACCTGAGAATTTGTGCCTAGGTGTTGGCTCAGATGAAAGCATTGATTTATTATTACGTTGTGTTTGCGTTCCAGGTAAAGATAAGTTACTAATCTGCCCACCAACATATGGTATGTACTCAATTTGTGCTACCGTCAATGATGTGGCAATCACAGAAGTTCCATTAAAGTATCCAAGCTTTCAGATAGATTTGGATGGTATTATTAATAAGGTTACTAATGATAGCTCAATTAAGCTAGTTTACTTAACATCGCCTGGTAATCCTACTGGTAAGTTGTTGAAAGTTTCAGATGTAATTCAATTGTTAGAATCTGCTGCATCAAAGTGGAATGGTTTGATTGTTGTAGATGAAGCATATATTGATTTTACTGAATCTGGAGCTGATGCTTCTAGTGAATCCATGAGTACTTTGGTTAACCAATATCCAAACTTGGTTGTTTTACAAACATTATCAAAGTCATTTGGTTTAGCGGGTATTAGATTGGGTATAACTTATGCAAATCCAGACTTGTCCAAGTACTTAAACGCTATGAAATATCCTTACAACATTTCATCGTTAACCTCGAATGTTGCATTAAGAGCAACTTCTGCTGACAGTGGGTTAAAAGTTATGTCCAAATATGTATCGTCTATAATCTCTGAGAGAAGCTTCTTGATAAACGAGTTACAAAAAATAGATGGTGTGGGTAGAAATATTGGCGGATTAGACTCAAATTTTGTCTTAATTGAAATATTAAACAAAGATAAGAAACCTTCCAATGAAATTGCGAAGGCTTTATATAATAAGCTAGCAGTGTCCAATGAGGTTGTTGTTAGATTCAGAGGAAATGAACCAAATTGTACTGGAGCCTTAAGAATCTCCGTGGGTACTGCAGAAGAAAATAAAATTTTGCTTGAAAAATTACAGAAATGTTTGCAAGAGGTCTATAAAGAATCCTCTTAGTATGTGATCGTTTCATAATATATATATTATACATATGTATACATAATTTTAGCATGAAGAATGTAATACATAAATTGTAGTAACTTGTATGTAACTTCTTTTTGCCGGGTAACGTTTTTGATTCTATGAGAAATTCAATTTTTTCACCGAATTAACAAGTTCCATACTATAGAATACCAACTAGTTCGAACAAATCTGAGGCTACGATATAGATATAATGGCTAAACAAAACTTCATTGGACTTGTTATATCGCAAGGGAAAATGCTGAAAACCGTGAAGGTTAGGGTGCAAACCAAAGCATATGATACCAAAGTTCATAAAGAAGTCATTAAAAGAAAAGATTATTTAGTCCATGACGAAGGAAATCTTTGCAAGGAGGGAGATATAGTTAGAATTCAAGCTATTCCTAAGATCTCTGCCAGAAAATATTTTGCTATTGCTGACATCAAAATTAACAAAGGTCAGCAATTTGCATTGTACGAATCATTGGCCAAAGAAAAAGTTGCGAAGGAAGAGACAGAAAAGATCCAACAATTCTTAGAAAGAAGAAAAGAATATGAGAATACTATTACTCAAGTCGAAGACTTGAAAAAGTTGGATAAGTTGTCGAATACTTTCCAAAGTGACCCGTCTGCAGACAGAGAGTTCCTTTTAAATGAAATCAACACTATAAAGGAAAAGTACAACATTAAATCATGGCCTTCTACTGAGCCCGTTTTGAAGTTAGAAGTTAACGAGGCCGCCAAGGACTTAACCATACTTCAAAACAGAGTGGATAATATTAAAATTATATTGGATAAACTTATGGGTGAAGAATATTCCTCTCACCGTCAACAAATATTGTCTGGCTTATCAAAAACACCTGTTGAGGAACTCAAACCATTTACCCAAAAGAATATCTTAAGGAAGTTTATTTTAGATCCAAGAAATGAATGCCCGGTTACTTTATGAAGCAAATTCGACTCGGAATCTATTCCAACCCTTTTCATATAAATTCATTTATATAATCTGTATATAGCTTTCATTAAATTAATGTCATTAGAACTAAGCCCCCAGTGTTCTTTGTATTTCAAAACTTAAGTGTTCCAATAAAGGTCTGCGAACAATTCTTCAAAATTAAAGGTATTCTTCTTATGTTTGAATAGGTTTTTTATATTATCTTTGCCTATAGTATACCAATAGATGATACATAATCATTATATATATATATATAGTAGGTTCTATTATGTTACTCCCGTAACAAATATTAAATATTGTCATGGTTCGTATTTTGTATCCTGTGTATGATTTAAGTAGATAAGACAAACCCAACGCGTACTATTTAAATAACAGTGATACATAGATAAGCTTTTATGAATTCCCATTCAGCATTTCATGAAAATTGAATATAATCAGCGGTTTTGAATAGGAGAGAGTCAATAGAATTAGGAAATATGGCTTTACATAGTTCCGGAGACTCAGAAGATATAACACGAGCTGAGTATCATGCCATGCATGATCCTACTGTATTTCAGATTAACCATAGATTCAAGATTAAATTATCCCAATTGAAGTATTTTACATTCACAATAATAGGCATTGCATTATTATGGCCATGGAACTGTTTTTTGTCTGCATCAGCGTTTTATTCTGAACGGTTTGAACATTCACCACAGTTGGTAAAAATATACTCGTCAACGATGATGTCCGTATCGACAATAACTTCGGCACTATATAATTATTACTTGTCTCAAGTACAGGTTGGAGTAAATTATAAACATAGGGTTAATGTGGGGTTCTCTATGACTATTGGAGTTTTCATCATTATGGCCTTCTCCTGTGTTTTGAATTTCTTCATTTCGTTGGACGACTACGTCTTTTTCACAGGTTTGATGATTATGGTGTTTATATCTGCAGCTGCAACGTGCTTAGCCCAAAATGGTACTATGGCTATCGTTAACGTCATGGGAGATATATATGCCAATGGTGTAATGGTTGGACAAGCCATTGCTGGTGTATTGCCGTCAATTGCATTAATTGTATCAATATTAATTGTTGGGAACAAAAAATCAGATGCAGATAAAAAAAATCAATACGTTGATAAAAATTATGGAGTTTTTATTTATTATATCACGGCCAGTTTGATATCTGTCCTTTCGATATCATTATTATATCTTACGAATCACCACAAGGTAGAAAATACTTACAAAACATTAAATCACATGGTAGAAGAACAACAGCCCTTGACTAGCTCTGACGAAGATGAAGAGGAAGATCCAGAGATATCCCAGAAGACATACGTTCCATTTGTGGTTTTATGGTCGAAATTGAAGTTCATTGTTCTGACCATTTTTTTAACATTTGGCATAACCTTAATATTCCCGGTTTTTGCTTCCACGGTTGGATCAGTGCAAACGGAATCGGACCATATCTTATTACAAAGGAAAATATTTATTCCATTTGTTTATTTAGTATGGAACTTGGGTGATTTGCTAGGGCGTGTGTGCTGTGGAAGGCCAAGGTTAGGAGTTCTCATCAAAAACCCTAAGGTTTTATTGATATATTCAATAGCCAGAATAGTGTTCATTCCGTTGTTCCTAACGTGTAATGTTTACTCTACATCTACTGCCAAATCAAGCGCCATAATTAATTCCGATACGTGGTATTTATTGCTACAATTTTTATTTGGTTTGTCAAATGGCCAGCTTTGTACATCATGTTTCATGATAGTAGGTAACAATTGTGACACCGATGACGAAAAGGAAGCTGCCGGTGGTTTCACCGCAGTTTTTTTAAGTGTAGGATTAGCATTTGGTAGTGTTTTTAGTTACTTATTAGTCTTAATGATCAATAGATAGAATATTTATCGCTCCATGATATGTAGATGTAGAGAGGTTCCAAAAGCGAATTTGATCAACTCACGATTTTTATGCGCTTTACGCCAACATCAAATATTACACTGAGATCAGTATCGATTCTTTTGAAACATACGCTTTTCAATCCGCTAGTATCATGTCATTCTGGGATAATAATAAAGGAACATTTCTTGCCGCTGGAAAGGCCACGGCTAAAGGGATTGGAACAGGTACAAAAGCTCTCGGAAAAGCAGGGTACAGAACTTACAAGAATAGCCAAAATGAAAAGAAGGGGCTACCACCTATTGAAACAGACAAAGGAGATAACGATCATTATGGCACAAGCAGTAGTTTAAATAGTACTAATACAGGTTACAACCCAGGATATAATTCAGGACATAATTCAGGTTACAATTCAGGCTACAACCCAAGTCACAATTCAGGCTATAACCCAAGTCACAATTCAGGCTACAACCCAGGTCACAATTCAGGTTACAATACAGGTGCAAATACAGGAACAAGCCAGTATCAGAGCCAGCCAAAAGTTGATGTTAATGCATTTCCCCTCCCACCTAAGAGACTTGTTGGACCTGGAGAAGTAAGACCTTTAAATTCTCAAGCACCTCAAGCTCAACAATCGCAACAACTTCAGCAGCCTCAACAACCACAACCACAACCACTTTCAGGAGCAAGGCCAGTTCCTCAACCTCCAAGCCAAGCGGGAATTCAACCTCAATATCAGCCTCCGCAATACCAAAATGGGCAAATTCAACAACCTGCTTACGGGGTAGATCAACAACAACAGTCATTCCAGCCCCAACCGCAACAACAACAATATCAACAGCCTATCCAACAACCTCAACCTCAACCACAACAGACCCAACCACAACAACAATATCAACAACATATCTACCAACCTCAGCCTCAACTGCAAGTTCCTTACCAACCCCTTTCAGAGCAAAGTAACTCGAGTCAACCTCCACCAGCATACGATGATAACAATTTTCAAAATAATCAACTGGAGCTAGCGCAGTTGGATAGCCAGCCAGTTGCTAAAAAGCCTTTACCGGATCCATCCCTGTTTGCTCCCCCTCCAATCCATAAAAATCGAGGAGCCTCAGAATCATCGGACTCCGCATCTAATAAGACTGACTTTAAAGCTTCTCCGACTGGTAGATATGGAAATTCAACTACGTCCAGAAATACTAGTTTAAATATTGATCCTTCAAATATAGGTCCACCACCTCCCAAACCATATAGAGAAAATTCTGGGACAACACATAACTCATCAAATATCCGTCTGACACCACCATTGCCTACCCGTCAATCAAGCAGCACAATCCAAAATTCTCATGCATCAAATGTTCAGTCACAGGCTACACCGATTCCAGCTCCTCCTCCAAGTAGTAACACTGCAAGTGTAAATTCTGAGTCGTCTCAATCGTCTGGGACGGGTAGCTTACTGGCTCCTTTACCACCTCGGGATAATATAGCTTTAGACAGTTCTAAAAAGAAAGCCCCTCCACCGAAACCTACAAAGAAGCCCTCTCATTTATCCGCTGATGGTCCTTTACAATCCGCAGGGACAGATTCACTTAAACAGGAGTCCAAACCAAATCTACCTAACTTTGCAGAAGAAATCGCTTTGCGCAAAAGTTCGAACAATGATATAGCTAGTAAGAGTAATTCGAATTCCGAAAACTTGAACTTAGAATTGAAAAACAAATTACGACCAGTAAATTCCGAAGGTCATATAGAACCTGAAACTTCTAATGACCCTCCGTCTCTGGTGAAGTCCAAGCCAAAGTTGGCCCCCAAACCAAAAATAAGCCTCAAGCCAGAAATTTCCCCAAAACCTGCTGCATCATCTTTACCAGAGAAAAAAGCAAAGCCTTTAATGAAACCCAAACCTGAAATAAAGGCCAAACCTGAATTAAAAGCAAAGCCGATTATTGGATCTAAACCAATGGTTGACTCCAGTTCTAAAAGTTCTGACATGGTATCTAATCCAAAAACTGACATTCAAACTAACAAATCTAGCACCTCAATGCCTCCAATCCCAAGATCTGGAAGTGCTATTTCTAACACCCCGCCACCACCAATTCCACGATCTCAAAGTGCAACCCCTAATACGTCTAGCTCACCACCACCACCTCCTCCTCCATCTAGAAATTATAGACGAACTAAGGTGGCCATGCCTCCTATCGTACTGGGTCCCCCAAACTTTGATTTACAGTTGTCAACTGGTTGGTTCGCAAATATATCAGGAGCAATGGAACTACCAAAAGATATATCTGGTCTTAACTACAATACATCTTATCTGTATACCACTCATGGTTCTGATAAGTCATATACCAGAAATATTAATTTAAGGTTACGTGATTTGGCTGTACTCTCATACGCAATTACATGGCTGAATGACAACATCAACAATGCAAAAGTTGAAGTTACTAGATTTATTCCATCCCCAATACTAAATAAAATTCCAACTGTTGATGAATTAATTGCTAACCAAAAGAAGTTTGGCGACTACGTAGCTTCATGGAGTGAGAATAAAGTTGATCAGAAAGTAGGGTCTGGGGAGTGCTGGGACCTTGCGCATGATGCTTTGTTGAAGGGTTGCGGAAATCATGCGTTTATCTCCACTTACTATCATCATGGTTTTCCGATAGTTCTGCTTCAAGGTTCCGAAAATGGCGTCTCATATGTTAATGGGAAAATAGCTTTGGATGAGTTGAGAAGAGGTGACATTTTACAGTATACTTCTTGCATATTTAAAGATAAAAGTAGCGGATCGGTGAGCACAGTGGGTAATCCAGATCATACATCAGTGATATTGGAAAACATGGGTGATAAGTTGATAATAGCAGAGCAAAATATTAATAATATAAAAATTGTGAAGAAAAGAGAGATTTGCTTAGGCAACTTAACTCAGGGTACTGTGGTTGGATATAGACCGATGCCTACTGAATGGGCAGGAAATTTGTAGGTATATATGAAATATTCCCCCTTTCATATTTAGTCTATATAGATTCTAGAGAATATGATTTATTTTTGTCGCAACGCAGTAAACTATAAAAATATTTTTGAAAATTTATAGATGAGATATCTAACAAATATATTTCAATTTTCGTACTAGGATGACCACTGAAAGCGTAGTTGTTCCAGCATTGTCTACTCATCAAGATGAATCAACTTTTGAGTTTGCAAAAGTTTGTAATGAAGAGGTAGTTAGAACTCATTTGGGTTTACCAAATGATGCAACCGATGATCAAGTTGTTGAAAGAATTAGAGAGTACTATAATGTTAATGAAATTTGTGACTTTTTGAGACAAAAAGTAGAAGGAAATGGGGTGGAAAATGTCCCCAAATATAGGCATATCACGCTTCAATTTCCAGATTCTTTGATCTGTGATTCTGCTACTATCGTACACGAACTACAGAGAGAATTGGGACTTGTGCTGCTTGCCGATGAGTCTAGCGAATCCAAATGCAGTTCTAATAGCTGTTGTAAAGCAAATGAATTAGATTTTTCTCCTTCTCAAAAGCTTTGGATATTAGCAGATACATCATATTCAGCATGCTGTATTGATGAAGTTGCAGCAGGCCATGTCAATAGTGATCTTGTTATACATTTTGGTGATGCCTGCCTTAATGTCGTGGAATCATTACCAGCAGCATACGTATTTGGCAAACCTAACTTGAATCTTGATACTGTGGTTACTCAATTTAAGAAAACTTATGCAAATAATATAGATCTGAAAATATTGCTTATGGCAGATGCACCACATACACAGTATCTAAGCCAATTGTATACTATTTTAAAACCTGACTATCCAAATTTGGTTTATGCAGATTTGCACTTAGACTCATCCTCTAATGCTAATATCATTGGTTACAATCCATGTCCTTCTCAAAGCGCCAGATTGAATGTATTGAATAGAACAATCATTGGGTTGGAACATAATATTGAAGAACTTGATATTGATACTATTTTAGCAGATCATGATTTATTCCATATAGAAATTCCTGCTGTTCCACGTTTATTACAACTCACAACTACATTTCAATCGGTTACAACATATCATCCAGAATCTGGATCTTCATCACAAGGTCCTCACCCTAAGTTAATGCGCCGTTATAGGTATATGCATATGGCTCGCTCAGCAGGTACTGTTGGTTTATTGGTGAACACTTTATCTTTGGCCAATACAAAAACTTTGATAAATAAAATAGGTCAAAAAATTAAAGAGGCTGGGAAAAAGCATTATCTATTTGTGGTTGGTAAACCTAACGTGGCAAAGTTGGCTAACTTTGAGAATATTGATATATGGTGTGTTTTAGGCTGCGATCACCAGGGGATTATAATAGATCAGAATAATGAATATTACAAGCCCATTGTTACTCCTTATGAATTATTGTTAGCTTTGAGTAAAGAACTGAATTGGACTGGAAAATGGGTTACTGATTTCAATAAGGTATTAGAAGATATGAATTTGGAAGAAGATAGAAACGAGCAAGAGATCAACAATGGAAACGATAATGATGAAGACTCTGATGATGAAGCTCCTGAATTTAACCCTGTTACTGGGCAGTATGTTAGTACATCTAAACCATTAAGAAAATTACAGCATTTACAAATCTCGTCACAAGAACAACATCCTGAATCAGATAATGATGCATCTCAAGATTTAGTGAAAAAGTTTTCAACTGCAGTTGCAATCAAAGGTACGGTATCGACATCTGCTATGCATTTACAAACAAGGCACTGGACTGGTTTGGGAAGTGATTTTCAAAATGATAGTGATGAGGAAATAGATAATGAAAATGGTGCTCTTGTTGAAGACGGTAGAGCAGGAATCGCTCGAGGTTATGATTATGATAGAGAGACAAAATATCATGGACATTAAATGCATATTTTAGTATAAAATAATATAGTATCGTGTAATATAATATAATAATAGTATTTTCTTCGTCTGAGTTCGCTTCATTTATTTTCACTGATAATGCGACCATCAAAACTGAAAAATCTAAACTAAGTGCTATGAGGTTGTCTGCTGTAATATGAATCTAGACGAGCTCATCAATGGACTCTGGTATTCTACGAAATACCTATTGGCAATAGTACTAATTTTCAGGTATGTTTTTTAAAAAATTACTAAGTTGACTAATATCATAAATCTAACATATAGCACAGCATATTCGATGGCTTTCGTTGGAAATATAATGCCATTTTCCTATTCTTAACTTTCTGCTTATGTCTTCATAGTCTCAGTGAGAAATACAAATGTCCCCCTGTGTTTTATTCAATTAATGAAAACGATATTGCATTAATCACTGGAGGTTCTAGAGGATTAGGTCTTGAAATAGCCAAAGAATTGATAGAGAAGAAGATTGGTAAAGTAATAATATTAGATATTATTCGTCCTGAGGTTCAATTTATGAATGAAAACATGCCTAAAATTGAGTACCATAAATGTGATGTGGGTAATAAAGAAGAGCTTCAGTTAGTAATAGGGAAAGTCATAGAAAGTTTGAACAGTCAAAAAAAGTATATCAGCATATGCATTAATAATGCTGGTATAAGACATAACGAATCATTATTGAATTTATCACAAGAAAGAATTGAATCTATTTTCAATGTGAATACCATGTCCTATATACTAGTTTTAAAAGCTATATTGAAGAATCATGTGGAAAAGGTTATTCCTAGACAAACTCTGAATAGTAACCTATTTATTGTTTCAATATCATCAATATTGGGCACCCTTGCGCCAAGGAATTTGTCTATCTACTCTGCCTCAAAAGCAGCCATAATTCAAATACATGAGGCCTTGACTCAAGAAGTATCATATTTACCCATGATTAGGCTATTATTAGTGACTACAGGCCAGCTAACTACAACCATGTTTCATGATGTCAAGCCTCCAATGAAATTTCTTGCACCATTAGTCCACCATGTTGAATTGGCAAAAGAAATCGTACGTAAAATAGAAAAAGGTGAAAAAGGTGTTCTATGCGCTCCACTTTATGCCAATTTTTTACCGATTGTTAAATGCTTGCCTATATTTATGCAAGATTTCTGTAGATGGTTTTCGGGGATAGATACTCAGATTAAAGACAATCATGAGGTAGCATGTAAATAATTTATTTATTAAATGATATAATATACCCATATCTAATCACTCTTTTTATCGATCTTCTCCAATTCATTTTTAAGCAACCTAGTCAATTCATCTTGTTTATAATATCCGAATGCATCAAAAACTTTCATAAATTCAAAACTAGTGACAATGGCCGAGCTTTCTTCATCATTAAATCTAATTTTCAAGTGATATATTGGATCATACTTCTTTGTCCAAGTTGCGACCAGTATCTTTTTATTGTTCACGTCATAGCCAACGTACTTTACGTTCTTATACTTCTTAGTAGATGTTAAATAGAATAAAATTGCACTGATTAAGAAATAAAGAATCACTGAAATTACTGTGACGTTATAAGTTTTTTCAAATCCAAATTTTTTATCAACCACATATAATAACCCGGCTATCACAACTGTCAGATATCCTAGAGCTAGCTTCGTGTCTATTAAGCTAAATGACTGCGTATATCCCAATTCTGATAACGACGCATGTAAATTATCATCACACGTAGCACGTAATTGAACAATTGAGCTAATTCTGGTTAGTTTTTGACATCTTCTCGCTCAATCTTCAGAGCAATAGCTCAATAAACAATATTTAATAACTTACTTCAAATTGGTTTTCTTAAGAGCTGACATAGTCTATTTAGTAAATGATATTGAATATATAATGTTTAGATGTACACCTTATAATCTTATTGATCGCAATATTATGCGACATTTGAAAGCGACATTGACTATAACGTATATTTTTAGAGCTCACAGCACTATATATAGATGTATTGTTTTATTACATTTGCCAATTAGAGTTAGATGAAAGGAGAACAAGTTTCTTCTTCTTTTTTTGCTTCCCCTTTCCTTTCCCATTATTGGTTTCTTGTCTATTAATTTCCTCCTTTGCTTTTCTGATCATCTCTTCTGCATCCCAATCGTCACTATCAGAATCATCATGTACAACTTCGGCCTTAGGTATCTTCGTACCCCAAATTGTAGTTTGATAATCACCAACAGAAGAGTCGCTGCTTATTTCCTTATTATTGCTGGAATCTAACACAGCTTCTGAAGAAAGTGATGGTAATTCACGGTGATCAATAATACTTAAGCTCCCGAAGTTTCCACGATCAATTTGAGAATCATAGTATTCATCCAAATCGTTACTTCCATTGTTTTCCCGTTCAAAGAAATTTCTGGTCCTAATCTCCTCTTCATTCATGGCCCTTTTTCTGTCTTTTTCTTCCTTACGGAATTTCTTGCTTGAATTCTTTGTTCTCTTAAGCAAATCGTTTTTATACGTTTGCCAAGTCTCGGGGCTAATGAATTCATTTTGTGACCAGTTACATTCCAAGAACCCAATAGTTGTCCCCAATGGTAGATGCGATAAATATTTGTACTTTGTTATTGAAGATTCGGGTGCCAATTCTTCATACCTTATATTCTCAATTTTTGTCACGATCGAAGATGGTAAATGAGTATAATCATTATTATTGTTCGTTTTCAATACTTTCATGTCTAATGGAGATAATACATATGTCGACGATGCATTGAAACCGGTTTGGTAATAGAAATATGAATTTGCCGAATCCAATTCTTTACTTTTGGAACGATGATCTCCTATGTATTTGGATGATTTTCCGTCTATGTCTTCATAATAGGCTTTCCATTTTACAATATCTTCATCAATATTAGCTATTGCCAACTTTGTGAACTTACCATCGTCATTATAAAGGAGCTTTTCTTCTTCGTATGCGGCTAATATTGTCTGCTTCTCCATTTCATACATATGAAGTAAGTAATGTAGGTCTCCTTTGAAAATTCTCAGGAATTGTCCAAAGTCAGGCACATCCAGAACTGATTGGTTTACCCACGGAAAACTGTCAATTACTTCATGATATTCTTTATGGCTACTAGGTAAAGCCAACACTTTATCATGCGGGCGTACCATTAAAGTCAATACAACTTCATCGTTTACCTTAGGAACCTCAAACCTCTCATCTATATTATTAATCAATACCGGTTTAATCTCATTCTTGCGTATAACGGAAAAACATAATGGACAATCACGATACTTTTCAACAACAGCTGTATTTTCTCTTTTCTTGAAAACAGGAACCTCACTCTCTAGTAACGATAAGAGACAAGTCAAGCACAAAATATGACCACAAGATGTAATCATTCTAGGCGCTACAGGCTCATCAGACAAGCAAATCGGGCAAGAATTACCCTTTGGCACAATAATTCGCAAAATATCTTTCGTATCAATAGGCACATTAGGATCTAACTGTTGAGATTTGTAATCATTTCTATAGTCAACCACAAATTTGTAGTTTACATTAATAAACGACATTCCTTTTAAATGTACCTTCGAATAATAATAATCTTTTGACCTGCTTCCATGAGAATTAGCTGATCTTGACAGATTATTACTGTTTCTTCGTTTCGATTTCGAATGGCGACTTTGATATTCCTTCAGGTCTTTGTACGACTGGAATTCCAACAAATGGTTAATGGAAATTTGATTTTTCCTATTCGTACCATTAAGTTGCTTGCCATTCTTAATTTGATTCTCTATCTTCTGTGAAAAATCATCATTCAATATACCATACTCGTTGCTATATTTTACTTTTTGCTTGGGTTTTGCCTTAGCGTGTTGACCCTTTTTCTTTTTCAATGCCTCCTTAGAATTATCTCCAACATACCCTCTGTTGGATGTATTGGAATCAATCTTAGGTGTCAATGACACATTCACGTCTTTATTATTAGTACTCATTGACGATGAGCCTATTCTCCATGTTCGGATGTCGAAGAAATAGGTATCCAGAGAATACAAAAATTGGCTAATACAATAGTGGAAATAGATAATAGTTTCTCTTCTTATATCTGAAACTTCAACCTATATATCTCTTCCACAACCAGCTAAGATTAGAAGAATCCTTTACTCATAGTGATCACATAAGACTACAAAATAGATCATTTAATGTTGCACGTGTTTTATTTAACCTGTAAATACTAAGAAATTCTGGAGTTACAGTTTACAATGTGTGTTCCTAAGCATTGCCTATACTATAGAATAGATCCAACACACCATAGCATAATCTTTATTTAATAGGTTGTCTATATTGGAATGAGTGGGAGCCATCAGCTGTACGAGCGGGTAAATTCAAATGAAACAGAACTACCAAGTGATCCACCTAATTATCTCGACTTGGAGTCTAATTTGGTAGATAGTACCGATAACGGCATAGAGCAGTTTGAGATAGAAGACGAAGACTTCGAACAACCGAGAGAAAATGATAGTTTTATGGTACGGGCATCGTTTGTGACGAAGAAATTTGCAAGTAATTTCAGCACCCGAGTAATGCACCCGGTAAGCAAAATAATTGACCCTATATATGAAGGGTACAACCATTTTAATACCCTATACGAGAGGTTGATTTTGAAGCTAGGAAATCCGCTAGTGGTAAAGCGTTTACTATATGTTTTCTTCATAATGATTGTGATTTTCTTTATAACAAAATACAACATCAGTGACGGTGTAAATGGAGTGAGTGGAGGAGCATTTTCTTCGGGTAAGTTTTATGACATAGATATGTTGGCGAATTCCGCTCGTGATTACATAGACGGAAAGGTGATGAAAGAGAATTTAGAGTACTTGTCTTCAATGCCACATATAGCTGGCTCAAAGGGAGATTTAGCGTTGAGTAAATATGTTCAAAGTTATATGAAGGAGAATGGAATAAAGATGATTGACTTTGATGAATTGCAAAGTTTCACGAACTATCCAGTATTTGATAAGAAGAAAACATACGTCAAATTAGCTGATGATTCTTATGAAGCAACTTTGTATGAACAAGGCAAAAAAGATATGGAATATTTGTCGTATAACCCTAACTCATTGAATACGAATGATGAGTATGAAAGTTTTTACATATATGGCAATTTTGGGACCCAAGAGGACCTCAAGAAATTGCGAGAGCATAATGTAAATTTACAAGATTCTATACTTTTGATCAAGTATGGGGGTTCAACTCCAGATGCAAATAAAATCCAGATTGCTCAACAACAAGGTGTGAAAGCTATTCTTTTCATTAGTTCGAAGTTTGATATAGGTACTGATGATAATAAAGTAACTCATGATGACATAATTCAGAAGGAAAACGTTGGTGCTAGTAGATTCAGTCCGGGAGACGTATTAACACCTGGTTGGTCCTCTGAAGATGGATATGTAACCAGATTGCCATGGTTTAAATCGCAAACTACTCCCAAAATTCCTACAATTCCTATCTCTTGGAAAGATGCTTCGCATTTTATTTCTCAGTTGGGTGAAAACGGTATAAAATTTGACGATGGTTTATATTCGGGCACGAAGTCCTCTGACGCCAAACAGAAAATTAAACTAAGAATTACCAATGACCAAAGACAAACAAATCAAATTTGGAATATTGTAGGATCTATTCCGGGTAGAGAACAAGTAGAAAAAGGTGTTATTATAGGGGCAAGCAGAGACTCCACATGCTTCGGTACTATGTCAACCAACACAGGTACTGTCATCTTGCTTGAAATGGTTAAAATATTCAGTGCGTTGCAAAGACAATATAACTGGTCTCCTGCGAGATCAATATATTTTGCATCTTTCGATGCATCAGAATATAATTTGGCTGGGTCAACTGAATGGGTCGAGAGCAGAAAAGATACTTTGAAAAAAGAGGGATATGCCTATATTGATTTGAGTGATGCAGTATCTGGAGATAATTTACTGATTAATTCTCATCCCTTCTTACACAATCTTATAAAAGATGCCTTGAAACAAGTAAAGAGTGATAAAAGTGATTCCAAGCGTACCACTGATACCAAACGAGAAGACCATAGAATAAGTCTTTACGATCTTTATACCAAACAGAATAAAGGCAGTGATGATATTTCTAACAATTTAGTTGACCAAAAAAATTATATCCCCATTATTAATTTGGCTAATATTCCATCCATGGAGATTAAGTTCACTGGTTTTAGTTATCCTGAAAACTCTTGTTATGATAATTTTGAGAATTTTGAAAACTCTGGTGTTGATTCTTCAATGAGCAAACACAAGCAACTAGTTGAATTATTGTCTAAAATTGCATTAAATCTAGCAGAAGTACCTATTATTCCATATAATTTCGCTAACATGGCAAGTAAATTAGTCACATATTCTGATGATTTGGAAAAGTACGCTAAAGATAAGATAGCTCATTATGAAAAACAAGTCGAGCCTAGAATGCATTTCGATGCTTTGCGTAAATCAATAGATAAATTTAAAAGCTCTGGCGTTAGGTTCGAAGAATGGTGCAATGCGTGGAAGCAATTTGTCAAAGAGTCCTCGGACATTGAACCTTCATTATTGGCAATGAATAGATGGAAATGGAATGATAATATGATAGAATTAAATGAAAAGTTTATTGTCAAGTATGTAAAGCCACCACGTCCAGGTTATGTTAACGTATTATTTGGGGCACCATTTCTGGCTCCCGATAATGGCAATGAGGATTACGAGTGGAATACATTCCCTAGTGTTAGAGACTACCTTGATTTAGATGATTTTGGTAGAGCACAGCATGAGATTGATCAGTTAGCAACTTTAATTGATGTAGCTGCACAACAATTTTTATTATTATGATTTTTATTAATCAAGGTATCAATAGAAGCATGGTTACATAGATGGAATTTAGGGCTCATTAATTATAGTATATATGTACATTAATATAATAATCAATTTTAAGCTTGATGTAAATTTTTTTCAATAATGATGAATAATAATTCGAGAAGTATCTATCTCAATCTGAAAAATTCGAACAGTTTTCGAAAA